TGACTCTAAACATGCAATTGTGATTTCCCAATCTGCTAATTTTGAGGAAGATATTGACTGGTCCAGGATTCATTCCAATGATCCTGGAGTTTATTTTCCCAGAGATGATACTGCTGATGCCACGCAGATTGATGATCAAGATTCCACTGATTCTTCTCAACCTGATGTTCCGTCTTCGCAAGCCGCGGATGCTGATGCTAGCGATGAAAGTGAGGACGAGGACGAAGAAGAAGAAGATTGGACAGTTGTCCCGAGACGTTCCAAGAGGGCCACAAAAGGAATCCCTCCACAACGATGTTCTTGGCAACTGACAAAAGCACCCTTGCCTTTGATTTGCAATGTTACACTTCCACCTGATAATTTCACGCAAATCAAGCATCTCCCTGATTCAGAGCAAGACAAATGGTATAAAGCAATGCAGGTTGAAATGGACAGTCTAAAGAAACTTAAAGTATTTACACCTGCAAAACCTCCAGCAAACAAAAAGGTCATTGGTACTCGATGGGTCTACAGAATCAAAAAGAAACCAAATGGTGAGTCACTGTACAAGGCCAGACTTGTAGCTCAGGGTTTCGCTCAACGTTATCCTGAGGACTACACAAATACTTACTCACCGACAGTCAGAACTGAGAGTGTAAAAATTGCTTTAGCAACTGCAACTATCCTTGGTTTAGAAGTTTTCCAGTTTGATGTTGACACGGCTTATCTACATGCAGACCTAGATGAAGAGATCTATGTGAAAAGTCCTCCAGGATTCCGACAACAAGAAGGGGATACCTGGTTCCTAAACAAAAGTCTCTATGGTCTGAAACAATCTGGTTTAATGTGGTACTTATGTCTTACTGACAAACTAAATTCAATGGGCTTTATTAAGTCCGAAACTGATGAGTGCGTGTTCACAAAAAGATCTAACAATGCATATGAGATACTTCTTGTTTATGTTGATGATATTGTTTATATTGGTCCAAATAAGAAAATGAGTGAAATTTTTGCCAAAGCTTTGCAGAGATACTTCACATTGAAATCATTAGGTCATATTAGCACTTATTTAGGTGTTCAGATTGAAAAGACACAGAAGGGGTTTAGTCTTTCACAAGAAGATAAAATTGAACAAGTTTTGCATCATTGCAACATGAAAGATGCTAACACAACAAAGACACCCATGCAAACAGATTTTCATAACTTGACACAAGAAGAAAGTCCTGAGTTCGAGGATCAAACACTTTATCGTTCAGTCATTGGGTCACTGTTATACATTAGTAGTTGGACCAGACCCGACATTGCACTTAGTGTTAATCTTTTATCACGACACGTAGGGAAAGCAAAACAGTTTCATTGGACATGTATTAAGAAATTATTGAGATACCTAAAATACACCAAACGTTTGAAATTATTGTTAGAACCAACACATACTGATTATGCAGAATTATGTTGTTATGCAGATTCTGATTGGGCAAGTGATAAGAAATCATGTAAAAGTACTTCAGGTTATATGATGTTCTTAAATGGATGTCCTGTTTATTGGCAAGTACGTAAACAGAATTTTGTTTCTTGTTCATCTACCGAAGCTGAATATGCTTGTGTTTCAGATGCATGTAATTCTCTAACTTGGTTTGATGCTTTAGTCACAGATATTTGGACACACCCGATCCGACCGATCACCGTGATGGAAGACAATGAATCGGTGGTTTATATTTCTGAATCTCATTTTACAGGTTCTAGGTCCAGACACATTGACATTCGTTATCAAAACATAAAGCATTTGGTGAAAAAAGGTTTTGTTAAAATGCAATATGTATCTACACATGATCAAATTGCTGATATGCTCAACAAACCACTTCCAGCAGCTCAACATGAGTATCTGCGTAAGAAGATGTGCCTTATTTGATGATGAACTGATATTCGCTCAACTGGCAAAGAAGGGGAATGTCACTGCGTTATTTTATTTACCAGCTGAGCTCATTATTTCTGGACTATCTGACTCTCCGTAGCTTTGCCAACTTCTTATCAGTAAGCTACGTGTTTCCGTATCCACCCACATTCCTTCACACTCTTCCCTTTGTTCTCTTGCCACGGGTGCCAGTTGCTGAAAGGCAGCTGGCCCAAATTACTTCCAAAATGTAACAATTAACTTTTCTTAGTTAGTGAGGTGTTTTATTTTCTTTATAACAAATAAATGAATTTTATTAGAAACCTTTCTCGCGTTTCTTTTTCGGAATATTGCAACAAGGAATAAGCCTCGATTCATCTCCTCTAATCTAAACCAGGGTAATTAGTCCCAGAGCCAAACATGGGATTAATAAATGCCCTGACATGAACTGTATATAAGAGTAGGATTGGCCTCTGTAACAAGTGCCTCTGTGCAATATATTTGCCTCTATCTTTCTACTCTGTAATGACTTACTTCTATGACTATTGCTTTTGTGCTCCTGATATTGTATGCTAATTCTCCTGTATAGTATTGTATATAAAGAAGTTGCTTATGTAATTTGAATCCTGCTGAAGTTCATTTAATTGTGTCTGATTGTGTGTGCTGCAACAAACTGATATAAGTGATGTGGTTAGTTGACAGTTTAGTGTTTTCAAACCCAGGCAATTAGATTAAATCAGTGGACTATGATTGTTAGTTATGGATTAGCATTTTAGGCAAATCTAGCCCTATTTTATCTTTACCTGTCCCTTCTGGAAAGAGCTTCACCTTTGGACACAGTTGCTGAGGTTTTAGTCTCCAGGCATAAAAGGAGTTTATACAATTTTCAGTTTCAGTTTCCAATTTCTCAACGATCAGCTGAAACTTATGAGTGAAGAAGCTGCTCAGTTAAAAAGAAATGAAAACTAGCAAGGAATACCATGAGCCAATCAGTTCTCCCTCCAGATGTTCAACAGAAGAGGTTCAAAAAGTGGTCCTCCTCCCATAACCCACCTTCTGAATTGCCAAAACCTCTATAGCAGGGCTTTTAAACTCCCAGCCCACAGGCCAGATGCACACAACCAGTTTAGCGAACGGGGGAAAAGTCCCTGTGACGATGCTGTGATGTGAGTTTGACACCCCCGCTCTATACTGACAAGAATCATTTCAAGTAACATTCCATGCAGAAAGGAGAGAAAATATTGCTAATCCCCTCTCACCACCATCCTTAATTTAATTACATGTTAGGTACATGCTTGCCATTCCTGCTGAAAATGTTCTTATGAGATAAAGACACCCTGCTGTTAAGGCTCAATTTCTTCTATTTGTAATAAAAGCTTCTGCTAGCTATCTTTACAGAATCTTTAAACATGGCTGTAGATTGCAATGTACAATAGAGCATCTAGGTGGTGATGGGTAGGGGCCATGTTTGAGGCCAGAAGATGAATGCGCTAAACATTTCACAAAGACTGCGTATTGGACAATTGTTTTATGGAGATTTTGAAACTGACCAGGAAGGAAGCATTTGCAAACCATTTCCATAATCATGCTTAAAAGGCCTGCATGGTAGTAATCCTAATTCTAGAGGGTGTTTAATTTGCTTCTATCCCTTCTCTAGTATACACTGAGCTGCTTGCACTCAGAAAAAGTGTGAAATAAAAGCAAAGCCAATTTTAAAAAGCTGCCCACAAACTCCAGTATTGAAAGAAAAGAAAAGAAAAAGAAAGGGTTTTTACCTCGTCCCCACACTAAGGTGATTTCTTAGTCTTTTATACCAATCCATAGTCCAGGATTGGCACAAAAAGTGTATCTGGAGGGGGCCTTCAAACAAGTACAGTAAAACCTCAGTTTCTGAGGCAGTTTACAATTCTTTGTGTATCATCACATAAAAAATACTGTATTTTTCGGAGTATAAGATGCTTCAGTGTATAAGAGGAAAACAAGAAAAAAAAAATCTGCCTCTGCCTACCAGCATCATCGGTATTCATCTGGTTAGCATCCTTGCAGCAAACAGCCTGGTCAGCTTCAGCACGTTATTGCAGCCTGATTCAGCATCAGAAGCTGCTGCCTGGAAACGGCCAAAAACGCAACACGCAGAGCCCATAAATGGGGCATGCCGAGGCCGAAAACACAATGCTCAGAGGCCGAAAACATGATGCACAGAGGCGGCAATGTGCTGTGCAATTCCCGCAGCCTGGAACGGGTCTAAAATGGGGCGTGCGAAGGCTGAAAACACAACACGGGGAGGCCGAAAACGGCTGGGCGGAGCTTCAGCAACATTCGCTGTATAAGGCGCACAGACATTTCCACCCTCTTAGGGGGGGAAAGTGTGTTTTATATTCCGAAAAATACGGTATAACATAGTCCAAATGACATATTTTGCATAATAGGCAAATGACAAATATGGGCATTCATGTTTAACAAACACTCCCCCCCTCCAATTATCTTATTAAAACCAAATTTTATTTTATAATGTATAATTATATTGTATAATTATATATTGCATAATGTCATGTCATATCCAGAGACTTAATTTGAAATAAGAATACCCATATGTGTGCCATCTTGAGCTCTCAAAGGGCAAGTTAAAAATTATAAATACATTTAATAGCACAGGACATGGATTAATATCTATTTGGAGCACCAGGAAAGAATAGTTATTTCCAGAAAAAAGTTGGTACAGTTGACCACTTATGGAGTTGCCATTTAAAACAAAAACTGACCTTATAGATGAACTTCAAAAAAAATGGGTGAAGGAAATTTTAAAAAATAAAGGCTTTTTTTAAAATTTTTTTGCAGCAGATAATAAATATAGCAGATAAATGAAGTATGCTATGTTATAGTTTTTTGTGTTATTGGCTAACGAATGAATATTAGCAGAAGAACATTATAAGGTGGTAATGCTATTTAATTCCTATTCTACACATTCATTCTAATAAGCTGGCTCAAAAATTATTTGAATGCCAATGAAAAGAATTAAATTAAAGTAGTAATGAGATTGTTTCTAAATAAATACTATAAAACATCCTTTATAATCTAATGTACATTTAATATCATTTATTTATTAATCATCAGTTATTGTATCCTCTAGATGATTTTAAACCAGCATCTATAGATACGTCTTGTGAAGGGGAGCTTCAAGTTGGCAAAGGAGATGAAGTCACAATTACATTACCACATATTCCTGTAAGTTTACCATATCTCCCATTGCAGATTTGCCTTCTGTGTCAAGCTTCTTAACAAGCTTTGCTCTGAACTTTTCATATGTAGCCAAGGGGAACATGATATACTTCATAAAAACAATTTGTGGGAACTAACACATAAGAGAATACCATTTTTAACAACCGTCGAATGTGCCATGCATACTTTGAGAATAATTACAAAAAAATATTTTGGCCTGACTACAAATACAACTTTTTACTGTATTATTGAAATAAGCACTTCTGATTTCCAGGCAAGGTTGAAGAAAGATGCTGCTGCATTGAATTAAATCATTAGTATAATGGCATCTTTATATAGAGTTTACAATACTTTTGTCAGGTTCACTTAGGGATGTTGCCATTCTGAGGGGGGAGGAGGCAAGTTGTTGGAGCTAAATTCTTTGCATGCTTTCGCTTTTGCTGAAATGCGTGGGATTTATGGAGGGGGCAATGGATGGGCTTCACTTCCTCCCAGTCGGTTCTAGCTCTCCAAAATCATAGCACCCTGAGTGTGAACTGGTATCAAGTTAACGTCTTGGAGCTCTCAAAACTCCTTTGCAATATATTATTGGCTACTTGTGGACTAGGGAATTGGGGTGGGGTTTGAAGAGGGAAAAATAGCTTAACACTTGTGTGTTAACTTCAGATTCTGTTGACTTCTCTGCAATCACTTTCTCAGTAAAAGTTTCCTTTTGAACTACCACTGTTTCAAGAGTCCTGCTTTCCTGAGAAGATAGCTGAGGCAGGTCCTTACAACTTTTTTCCCAGGCTTGTTTGGAATCTGTATCAAGATTAATGTGTGTACTTATGAGATTTGTAATAGTCTAATGTTTCAGAGCATGCACACCTGCGATAATCTAAGGCAAATATGTCTGTGAGTCCCTTTCAATTTCTGGCAACTTTCTATATAGATATTTAAAACATTGGATTACTGTTTCATTGCCTAATATTATTTTGGCTATGTATGAATTCTAATGTGCATTGAAGGATTCATAAAATAATATTTCTGAATTCTCTAGAATTATATTAAGTTCTATAAATTTTATTTCTGGTATTGGCTATAAATAATATTGATGATATATTTCAGGGATTTCAAACTGGATTTCTTCAAGGGCCAGATCAGCATTGTAGTTCTCCGCAGCTGGCCAAAGGGAGGGAGACAGGACGGACGCCTCCTGCAGCACCATGCTGACCAAAACAGAGCGTGGGGGGGCCACATTCCCCCCATGCCCTGTTTTCAACCTGGATGGCCTCCTGCAACACCCTGCCGATCAAAATGGGGTGTGGGAGGCGCGGGTGTCCCCCCAACGCCCTATCTTGGCTGCCAGAGGCACTGCGAGCTGGAAATAGCTGGCTCCGTGGGCCAGATTTAAGCACCCTGTGGGCCTTGAGTTTGACACCCCTTATATATTTGTTTTGAGATATTGAAGCATAACTAAACATTCTGTTTGATTTCTTTATAAACTATATTCTGAACTATATAATATTTTGAACTATAGAATATAAACTATAAAATATTTTGTTGCATTGCCTATCTGCATAGAGAAGAATGTTTAATATGAAGTGTTTATAGTCACAAAGTTAGCCATATTAGTCTGTTGTAGCAAAATCAACAAACATTTCTCTACTGGTTTATGAGCATTGTCATTCTAATTTCAGATATTTCTTCCTTGTAGCAGACACAGTATGTAGACAATTGTTTTTTTGAAAAATTAGCAAATGAATAAGTCATTTTTATAAATAGCAAGTTCTATACTTGCTATTTTGTAATTTTGCCAAAGTTAATATGATTTCTTTCTTGCATATAAAAATATAGTAATGACTATCATAGAACAAAATATTAAGAAAATACCTGATTAAAGCATAATCTTCTGAGCTGGATTTTAGATTTTGATTATGCTATTACAGTATATCTGATTTTCTTGACCTGCATATTATTACTTGTTTATATTTAAATATATTATTTACTTTTCTTGAACATCAGGGTTCTACACCTCCAATGACTGTATTCAAAGGAAACAAAAGGCCTTACCAAAAAGACTGTGTACTTATTATCAACCATGATACTGGGGAATATGTGCTGGAAAAGCTAAGCAGCAGCATTCAAGTCAAAAAGACAAGGTAACACAAGGCACAAACATGGGAGACCAATATCGATCAGCACAAAGTATAATTCCTTCTGAAGTAAACTGTTCTTCTATCTTCTGCTTTTATCTTGACTATATAAAATAATAAACATTAAATATTGAAATGATGAGAAGCAAACGAATCTAATACATAGTCTATAATCTCCACTCTTAGGTGAAATGACTATTTCAAGTATATCTAATATGCTTTCTCTCCATATTAAAACTTTAATCATCACTGATCTTATCAATCGTTAGTAAAGTTTTCAAAAGGATGACCTAGGTGATGTTTTCAATTTTTAAAAATTAATTCTTGGGAAAGTTTAGTTGGTACTTAATTTTCCTTCTCCAGTTGAAAAAACAGGAATTTAACAGTTCCATAAATGGTACATTAGTATTATTTATTTACACAATTCTGATTTAAGATTTAGTAAGATTAGAGAAAATGAGAGAGTAGAAATTAGATTTTATTTGTTTGTTTATATTTCATATTTCTAAGCTGCCCATGTCTCAAAGACTGTATCAATTCTAATTCCTTAATTCCCTCAGTGACCAAGAAGGATTAGAATTGGAAAAACTCCTCTGTATAGCTACAAAGGAGAAACAATGTAAGAGAACAGACATTTGTAGAGGGGACCCAATTACTCTTACAGAATTTATGTCTACACATAAATTCACCACTAGTAATATTGTAATTATAACTGGCAGAATAGCCAACAAAATTAATAATTTTGGAAGATGCAGGAGTTGGGCAGAGGCAACCTTCTTAGATACATTAGATATAAAGTTTCCTTGTCTGAAAGGGAGGATCCAAGATTATATTGGACTTATTTCCAATATGACAGCAGTAGTAAAGCTTTCTTTTTCTTAAAATAATTAAATAATGTGGTTCAAAATACATTAAGGTTATGATAAATTATGGAAAGCAATTACATATTATACGTGTTATCTGTTTCAGAGCTGAAGGCAGCAGTAAAATCCAAGCACGGATAGAACAGCAATCTGCTCGAGCTGCACAATCTTCTACCCAGTTCAGAGCTCCAACAAAGCCTGCAGCTGGACCTAAAACTTCACCACTGAAAGACAATCCTTCACCAGAGCCTCAATTGGATGATATTAAAAGAGGTAGAACATTTATTATAGCCTATCTACTGCCTGAGATGGGAAGAAAGTCTATTACTCCCCACCCCCTTGTAAGTTTTCTTCAGTATATTTTAGCAATGGCAGCACAGTTTATAACCTTTACCAGCCAGCCACCTCACAATTATATTAGTTGAAACATTTGTATTAGTTGAAACATTTCTTAAAACCATGGACTATCTGGGATAGTCTAAATAATTAAGAGCCAATGGGGCATTATAGTTACACTGGGGCAAAAAAGTATTTAGTCAGCCACCAATTGTGCAAGTTCTCCCACTTTTTTTTTTTTTTTTTGCTTTAATTTATATGCGGCCCTTCTCCAGAGACTCAGGGCGGCTTACTATACGTTAAGCAATAGCCTTCATACTTTTGTATATTTATACAAAGTCAGCTACTTAAAAGATGAGAGAGGCCTGTAATTGACATCATAGGTAGACCTCAACTATGAGAGACAAAATGAGAAAACAAATCCAGACAATCACATTGTCTGATTTGGAAAGAATTTATTTGCAAATTATGGTGGAAAATAAGTATTTCGTCAATATCAAAAGTTCATCTCAATACTTTGTTATTATATATCCTTTATTGGCAATGACAGAGATCAAACGTTTTCTGTAAGTCTTCACAAGGTTGGCACACACTGTTGCTGGTATGTTGGCCCATTCCTCCATGCAGATCTCCTCTAGAGCACTGATGTTTTGGGGCTGTCGCTGGGCAACACGGATTTTCAACTCCCTCCAAAGGTTTTCTATGGGGTTGAAATCTGGAGATTGGCTAGGCCACTCCAGGACCTTGAAATGCTTCTTACGAAGCCACTCCTTCGTTGCCCGGGCGGTGTGTTTGGGATCATTGTCATGCTGAAAGACCCAGCCACGTTTCATCTTCAATGCCCTTGCTGATGGAAGGAGGTTTGCACTCCAAATCTCACGATACATGGCCCCATTCATTCTTTCCTGTACACGGATCAGTCGTCCTGGTCCCTTTGCAGAGAAACAGCCCCAAAGCATGATGTTGCACCCCCATGCTTCACAGTAAGTATGGTGTTCTTTAGATGCAACTCAGCATTCTCTCTCCTCCAAACACGACGAGTTGTGTTTCTACCAAACAGTTCTACTTTGGTTTCATCTGACCATATGACGTTCTTCCAATCCTCTTCTGGATCATCCAAATGCTCTCTAGCAAACTTCAGATGGGCCCGGACATATACTGGCGTAAGCAAGGGGACACGTCTGGCACTGCAGGATCCGAGTCCCACAGTTGGCATAGTGTGTTACTGATGGTAGCCTTTGTTACGTTGGTCCCAGCTCTCTGCAGATCATTCACTAGATCCCCCCATGTGATTCTGGGATTTTTGCTCACCATTCTTGTGATCATTTTGACCCCATGGGGTGAGATCTTGCATGGAGCCCCAGATCGAGGGAGATTATCAGTGGTTTTGTATGTCTTCCATTTTCTAATTATTGCTCCCACAGTTGATTTCTTCACACCAAGCTGCTTGCCTATTGCAGATTCAGTCCTCCCAACCTGGTGCAGGTCTACAATTTTGTTTCTGGTGTCCTTCGACAGCTCTTTGGTCTTCACCATAGTGGAGTTTGGAGTGTGACTGTTTGAGGTTGTGGACAGGTGTCTTTTATACTGATAACAAGTTCAAACAGGTGCCATTAATACAAGTAATGAGTGGAGCAGGATGGATTTGATTTAAATCAAACTGATTTAAATCACGATTTAAATCACTAGTCAGTAAGGCTTGATTTAAATCATAGTTTTCTACATAAAGACTAATTCTTGCTGGTATAACTTTAATATGCAAGTAGATGAAGATTTTTAGAATAACAACTTTTCATATTAGTTTTTTTATCCCCAGTTTAATAGGTTAATCATTCATATGGGAGAACTTGCACAATTGGTGGCTGATTAAATACTTTTTTGCCCCACTGTATAATCTCAGTTCTAGGGCAAAATCAGCCATACAGAGAATTAGAATTGCAGGGATAAGTGCTATCTATCTGACCTTGAATCTCTTAAGAAAACTCAGACTGTATTTTTAATGAATAAATAAACATTTAAAATGATCCTCCTATTTTTACTCTAGAGCTAAGAGCTGAGGTTGAAATTATTGAGCAGATGAGTAGCAGTAGTGGCAGCAGTTCATCTGAATCCGAGAGTTCCTCTGGGAGCGGTGATGAAACTTCCAGCAGTGATGGAGGTGAAGCTGCACATCCTTCTCCTTCTCAGCAGTGTAATACCAAGAATGTAGTTGCCAATGGTACTGGCAGGGCACAAGGCAACAATCAACTCATGAATACTCTCAGTAAGTTTATTTTCACTAAGTATCATATAACATAAGTCATACAACATAAATGCAACCTGGAAATTATGAGAAGTATAGACCAAGATTTCATGAGGGCATTATGCTCAGGAAAGCTGCTCTAAGTACAAGTTGTCCTCATTTCTGGAGGATAACAACATTGAAATAACAAGATTTTTCATTTATGGGAATTGGGAATAATGTACAAGAATCTGTGGTTGACCTCCCGTAGTTGTTGTCTGTGTAATGATCTCTACTCGCTCGTCTTTCACGTCCAATTGAAATGCATCTCATTAGATCAGCTCAATCAGGAGGGCTCCATGTGTTCCCTTTGGGCAACTAGCCTCTTTCAAGTGACTTAGTGTGGGAACAGTCTGCAAGCAGCACTAGCATTCAGAAGCCCCATAAAATAGTGATGCTGCCTACAACTTGCTTGCATTAATTTCTGTCAGGCTGCTAGATGATAATGCTGCCCACACACAACATGGAATTCAGTTATTCATAAATTATATGTGGAGAAGATGAGCATCCAGTGGCACATTCAAGAGGTTGTCTATAGAGATCCTGAAACAACTGCAGGAAGTGGAGAAGCCAGCATAAGCCATATGGTATAAGACGAGCAGCTCCCATCATCAGCCAGGAAAGTAATTTGAAAGGAGATAAAAGTCACAAAGAAGCTACTTAGACCTCACAATCAAGTTGTAACTAAGTGAGAGGGAAGAACAAGTATAGACATCTTGCTTAGATGATATAATCTTTCAAAAATACATTTTATACATCCACAAAAGCTTATCTGCTTTTTTTGCCATGTGTAACATTTGCATCTTTTTGCAGATACAAAAATATTTGTAGGCTTAGTTTTTATAATTATTTGTGGATATGAGACTGCAGATAACAAATGACATTTGTGCACGTTACTCACAAACACATTTATTTTCTGTTGAGTCCTTGCAGCTCTCTAAATTGGTTGTTTGTTTGCAGATGTGTCATTATTTGGCTAAGTAATAGCAATAGCAATAACACGTAAACTTGTCTAACATTCAGTTGTACTTTACAGCACTCTCTAGATAGTTTATAATATAGAAGTGCAGGAAGTGGTTAGATTTCCATATTGCCTCCAACAATCTGGTTCCTCATTTTACCAACCTTAGAAGGATGGAAGGCTGAGTCAGTCTTGAGCCCTATCAGGCTCAAACTCCAGGCTGTGGGCAGAGTTTGCCTACAATACTTCATTTTAACCACTGCCATCGAGGTTTTTTGTCATAAGATCATGGGTTCCTTTGCTTTATGCTTGATTGATTGGTATTAATCCCTGCTTTTCTGGGTATAGGCTGCTGGAGAGGATGTGTTCTGGTCTTTTTATTTCCTCCTTAGGTTTTTTACCATCTCTCTTGAATGATTTGTGAATGTGATTCTCTGTATATATCTTTAATGGCTGATTTGTCGGAATGCTAAACTTCCAGGAATTCTCTAGAGATAGGATGATCACAGTTTCTCATTTGAAGCTATGCTTGAGTCTGTCCACATGTTGTGAAATTAATGAGTGTCTTCTAACTACCAGTTGGTGTTCATGCACATATTCTGCTGGTCTTTTTGTCTGTCCATCATAGTGGCTGTTATATGCGCAAGCAAACAAACTCAGAGAGCACCAAGGACTCCACAGTTCAACCCTAAGCTAAATGTATTCTCTTCTGTTGGAAACATCTATTTTCCTTTTCCAAGACATACTTCATTTATACACTTCAGTTAATATTTATGTCACAATCTTTCTATAGATAGTACTGACTTGCATTATTCAGCATGGCCTCATAACTTAGAGCAGTTGTTGTTGGTTTGACTGATTCAGATCTAGTCTAAAGAAATTGATGCTAGCAGTGCATACAGTTTTTTCAGTTCATATTTGTTCAAAGTCCCATTATTGGATCAAGTCTGTGATGGAGCAAATAAAAAACCCTAAACTCTTAAAGTTATGAGTTTGTGATTTGCACAGTAATCATTGCAACATTTGGGCTTCTCACGAATCATGCCAAAGAACACTAGGAACAGAGAAATAATAGAATACCAAAAACTAAATCCACTTGGAGTAAACTCTTTAATGGCCTTATAAAATTGCTGCCTATTTTTGCTCTTGGTGTCTCTGATAGCTAACATTTCATAATTCATTAATGTAGAATTTAATTGGAAATTAAAATAATTCTCTTTTTTTAACAACAGGAAATGACTTGCAGTTGAGTGAATCTGGGAGTGACAGCGATGATTAAATTATATTTGCTGCTTTGGTTTCCTGTCAAATAAAAATGCAGATTTAATGAAGAGTAATACAAAAGTGGTAACTGATTTACTGGAACCCATCTATATAAATAGAATTGTTAACATTATGTGACCTGAAGGGAACAACAAACGTTCTTGGATAGAACTGTCCTCTGTTTATTCTATGTTTAAATTAAACCTGTTATAGTATAATCTAGCTTTTTTTCAGTAGGTGTGAATAATTTTAATCTAAAACTGAAATCTATCTTCAAACATGTCCTACACCATGTATTCTAATAAGATTCTTTGCTTGAGTCCCTTGAAAATTTAAAACAAAAGTTATTGGTAAGATAGATGTCAACCATTTTAAAAAACAATATATACACCGTATTTTCGGACTATAAAACATTCCCCCCCCTCAAAAAAAAAGTGGGTGAAAATGTCTGTGTGTCTTATAGAATGAATATTATGGCAGGGAGGGGGGTTGATGCGATGCTGATCATCTGTTCTAGGCGGCGGGGATCGCCTCCACTGCCTATTGCCAGCACTGGGCTGTTCGCCACCAATTGGCGGCGAACGGAATGCAGTGAGCAGACAGATTTTTTTTTCTTGTTTTCCTCTAAAGCTAATCTGCGTCTTATAGTCCGGAGCATCTTCTAGTTTGAAAAATATGGTAATTTGATATTCAATGAGATATCAGAATAAGAATGATACTACCTAGATTTCATAAGTTTAAGGCAGGGGCACAAAATTACAAAAGTGAATATTTATGGGGAATAAAAATTCCCTTGTGACAAGGAAAGTTTAATTATCTAGAAAAAAAAAAATCTCTCTCTGCTATTTTTTTCAGGCTGCCTTGATAATATTTTACACTATAAACACTTGGCAAAAGTATGTAAGAGCAGGCTGATTAACAGAATTTCTCAAAAATGAATTGTGAATTTAGCTGTAAGGATTTACTAGGACTTTTTTTATTTTTGCAGGAAATTTATATGGTCATTTGCGCACAAATGGCCATTTGTGCGCAAATAAAAAAATATATAAATTCCATCTTATTACTTATGCGAGTATTTCAGATTGTGCATATATATCTGCTGTTTAAGTATTGAAGAAGTCAGTATTGTTTAGTGCTCCATACTCCCAAGCACAATTAAATTAACATTACAATATAGAAATAATTGTAAGATTTTCTTGTTTACTAATATTTAATGCATATAGCATGATAAGGTCTGAAACTTCAGATGAGATAACAGAAATACTGTTTCATATTGATCGTAGAACAATTGTTAGCCATGACACACAAGTTTTTTGTTTCAGACACTGATCAGTCTCATCTGTCAAGCTACTTTGGTTATAAGAAGAGACAACCCTTCACATTGTTTCCTAATGAATTATTTTAAACTTCATACATGCTTTGTACTACATACCAGCTAATCCATTTATACAATAATTTGAAATTTTAAAAACTTAATGCAGAAAACTTCTTTCACTACTAAAAATTATTTCTTGAGAATATCAGTTGACTCAACTGATATTTTCAATAAATAATATTTTAGTGGTGAAGTTTAAATTCAATTTAAATGAATTTTTGGTAGACTGCTTGTCTAGAGCTAACAAATAAATAGAGGGAGATGAGCAGTGTTGTACATTCTGGGAAGTAAGATAATTTTTTTGAGGGGGAAGGAGAACAATACACTTTAAACTTACCGTCAGGTCTATGAGCCTTTCATCACTGCCCAAATTCAGAATGAGGGGGATGTTTGTTCATTTTTGTTTTGATTGACACATTGTATTCCATTAAGGCTTGGTAAGAGCCTTGGTAGTACAGTGGTCTAAGGCACCCTGTTATTAAGCTGGTTAAGACCAGATGCCTGCAATTACTGCAGGTTCGAATCTCGCCAAGGCTCAAGGTTGACTCAGCCTTCCATCCTTACTAAGGTAGGTAAATTGAGGACCCAGTTGTGGGGGCAATAAGCTGACTTTGTATAAATATACAAAAGAATGAAGGCTATTGCTTAGCGCATTGTAAGCCGCCCTAAGTCTCCGGAGAAGGGTGGCATATAAATCAAATTAAAAAAAAAAAAAGGCTGTAAAAATTAAGTTTCAATGAAATCTCAGAAAGAGGATTCATTTTTTTTCTGTAGCATTGCAAGATGATGTCGTACTTATATAATTTTGACTAAAGCAAGATAAATTGTTCTGGTTAATAAATATATAAATATTAATATGGCTGCAAGGCTGCAGTCTTATATGTGCTTCTTCCAAAGTCAGCTTAATTAGGGCCTTTTTAAAAATGAACTTTATCATGGAATTTCAATTATTTTATAGAGGCATGCAAATAGTAATCTGAAGGAACAGAATATTCCAACAGTGGGAGAGGGCTTCCAAACTATTCACGGTCCATAACATTTGCACAGAAGATGTTGTTTTGATTCCTAAAGGGAATTCTTCTGATTCATATGGCCAAAAAAGCAGGACTATTGAGACAACTGAAGTGTTCAACTGTTCAAGTATTAAAGGAATAAAAATAGGAATGAAATATAAGAAGTATAATACATTATTTTTTGATGCAATTTTGCCTCAGATGTACTTGTATCATCAATCTATATTTGTTTATATTTCTGTAATTTAGATTATATCATTTGTAACATTTTGTAGTTTTTCTTTTAAAAATGTATTTAAATTAAAAAAAAATAAGCTTCAGCACAAACACTGTAACAGAGGTTTCTCTCTTATTAGAACTCATCTGACCTGTTAGAAATTAGTATCCTTTATACTGTTTTATACAATACAATTATACAGTACTGGCTTGAATACTTTATACATAGTGAAGAATTGTTATTCAGTATTATTTATGCATGAATGCACAATCTTGGATATACATGTAGTCCTGACTCAGAAACGTAAGAATTGTTACAGGTTTGTAGCAGGAGTGGGTTCTACTTAACTTTACTACCAGTTCGCAATGGGACCGCATGTGCAGAAACTTCCTGATGACATCCAGGTCAGTGGGCGGAGCCTCCTGCCAGTTTTACTAGCAGTTCTTGCGAATCAGTCCAAACTGGGGGCAACCTGTTGTGACCCAGGCCCACGTAGTTGATATTAAATGTAAAACAGTTCCAAAAAACAAACATTTTATTAAAACAGCTGAGAATTAACTCATTCCCAGCATATTCTAAATGAAATGAAAGCAAAGTCCTTAAAACACCAGTCTTTAGTTTATCTCTGACCTTGGGATAATTAGGCAAACTGCCAAAGGCTTTTCTTGACAACAATTCAGGACAATTATTTGGCAACAGCCAAACAAGAAGCAATTCTCTCAACAGTTGTTTTCCGGCAAAGGGGCCAAGAGCTGTTGCTGGTCTTTTAAGTCTTATGGGAGGGGCCAATACTCTCTTGGCCCTACTCTTGAGTCGTCCTCTCTGTTTTAGCTGCTCCTGCCTTCTGGCAGCTCTTCTCATACATGCACTAGGAACAGGCTCTTCCTGTTCCTCTGCCTCTCTACTGTCAGCCTCTGGAGGCTCTGAAGTCGCACATCACTCCCCGATGGCCCTGGGCCATCTCTGCCTCTGACACAGAGCCCTCATCCGGGCCTTCCCCAGCCTCCAGGACTGGACCATGTTTTTCCTCAGCCTCATCGGTGTCCGACTCCGCTGCCAGCTCCGCAGGCTGCTGGCGGACCACAACACCCCTTTTACAAACTTCACAACACAACCCACCATTGGTTTGTAGTGTGCACATCATAGATTTTAACAATATAATTGTATTGGCCTTTGATTGAGTTGGTATGATTAACTCATTAACAAATATCAGCATTTTCCATAAATACCAGAAAGCAAATATAATCAGTATACTAGATCTTTGCACTACACTAACAGGCTTTTCCTAATAATAGATGGTACGTTTCTGTTGAACATTCTTCCACATTTTTTCTACAGTGCTAAGTTTGCATGTTGGCCCCACCACAAAGCTTAGTAGGTCCACAGCTTTTCTAGACAGTGCCTCGAAATGTGATACAAGATGGGAATTATTTAAAATGTGGCAATACTTAATTGTACTTGTTTTAATTATTTTCATTAAATCAGTTTCACTTTTATCCTGACTCCAAGTACTTTTGGTCTTTGACTGATACGCCATTTAAAGGCCCAGTGTGCTCCTCAGTGCAAATGAATTTCTGCACTCCAGCATAAGAATGGAGATTGGGAGCATCCAAAGCATCCATCCTGTTGGGTGCATGAACCTAGCCCACAATAATTGATGTACTGTGAAACATTACGTTTCGGTATAGAAATCAAGCTGTAGACTGGAAAAACATTCCTGATTTATCAAAGATATTTCAAAACCTGGCTCTTGTTCTGTATTTTGCCCACCAGTAGTATTAAAATCCGATCTCCAAAAAGTTTATCCTCTGCCAACATTTACAGAGCTGTGGTGGTGCAGTATCTAGTGTTGCAAGCTAACTCTGCCAGCTGCCAGCAGTTTGATCCTGACTGACTCTACCTTCTAACCTTCCAAGGTCAGTAAAATGAGGATCCAGATTGTTGGAGGCAATATGCTGACTCTGTAAATCACTTAGGGATGTAGAACATTATGAAGCAGATATATAAGTCTTAATGCTATTGCTATAATCAATGTGTGCAAAATCCTTTGGGATATGGTGTGACTACATAAATTCATAGAGGTAACTGTCAACTATCAATCTATAACCCTGAACTCATTTGATAGGGAACATGTGCAAGTCATCTGAAATAACGGCATAATTAACTGGTGCACAAAACTCACTGATGGGCAAAAATGTTTTGGTGGGAAAAAAGGAACAAGAGCCAAAAATATAAGACTTTGAGTTGTAATGCTTATACAAACCATTTAAATTGACTCAACTGGACTTAATGTTAGCTTCAGCTTATGCCTTCCAGTTAACTGTCACATAAGCAATGTTGAGAGAATTAATGAAGTATTAATCACCTCTGCTTTTGAAACTATCTCTAGAAAGGCAGCACAAAATGAAACACTATTCTGCACTTTCTTTTCCTCCTCCCCTACTTAGTGTCACCGTATATATATATATTGGAAAAACATGTGTTACAAGGGAGTGATGGTGAATAATCCACCACCAATCCAATTTTATCCACAACTTTTCTGGACACAGTGAATTGTCCATTTATTCCCATTCATGAGGAAGAGAAGCAGGCCACATCAATTTCCAATCTCTGAATCTCATTGATCACCAACAGTGAAGCAGCATCTTTCAGGGCACCATACACATTTTAGCTCCTGAGACCCTATCACTGCTCTCTACCTAGAAGAATAGAATAGAATAGAATAGAATAGAATAGAATAGAATAGAATAGAATAGAATAGAATAGAATAGAATAGAATAGAATAACAGTTGGAAGGGATGTTGGAGGTCTTCTAGTCTAACCCCCTGCCCAGGCAGGAAACCCTACACCACTTCAGACAAATGGTTACCCAACATCTTAAAAATTTCTAGTGTTGGAGCATTCACAACTTCTGGAGGCAAATTGTTCCATTGATTAATTATTCTGTCAGGAAATTTCTCCTTAGTTCTAAGTTGCTTCTCTCCTTGATTAGTTTCCACCCATTGCTTCTTGTTCTACTCTCAATTTTACTCAATTCAATTCTACTCTTAGAATTTTCCTAATTCCCTCTTACTGCTGCCATAAGCAGAAGCACCTGTAATTTAAATTTTCTTTCTTCTAGATCCAGCCTCTCTGTCTTTTCTGTCTCTCTCTTGCACATTGATGCAAGACAGAGGAGCGGGTGATTATTGCTTCTTAAAGATTGCCTAGGTCCCCTCAAGAGGAAGAATAACTTTTTCTTAGCAATAACAATTGTAGGAAAGTTACAAAATCACTTAAAATTAACATGTTACTCTAATAAAGAGTTTAAAATCCAGCCTATGTATTGCAATCATTTTTACACTAGAGAAGCAAACAATGTTCTCCCACCCTCCAAATTTAACAAACTAAAATATTTTCCTTAAGGCTCCTGCTCTGTTATTTCCAGGAAACTAAAACCCAAAAACTATCAATGTAAGCTGTGGGTTCCTAAAATCTTGCAGAATTTCCATGCACGGAGATGCAATCAGTTACTGTTTCCACATTATTTTTTGCCATTGTTTTTAGTTTGTCCAACAAATTTAATATACAACATCCGGTCCCCTAGGGTAATCCCTCCAGGTTGACTTTGGCCATCCCTTCCATAATTTTTGAAAAACTACATTGTTTGACTTGCATTTTTTTTATTTCAGTGTGGTTCTAGTTAGTAGGTCCTATAAACTTACAGTTTACTTTCATGGGTTCTCAGTAAATTGATTTAACTCAGAGACATGTCAGAAGTAAAATCAACATTGCTACTTTCACCTATTAACAAGAGAGAGAAGATGGCAAGGAAGTAATAGGCAGCATAGAGAAAGCAAAGCTGCTTAACTCATTCTTTGCATCGGTCTTCACACAAAAATAAATTATAGTCCAACCTACCAAAAACATAACTATAAAAGACAGACTAGAAATAAAAGTTAAAATAAGCAAAAAAATTAGTAAGACAACACCTGTCTGATCTTGACAAATACTAATCACCAGAACCTAATGAATTAGAGTTGTAAAGGAGCTGGCAAATATCATCTCAGAACCACTGAACCAGTGGTGGGATTCAAAAAATTTTACTACCGGTTCTGTGGGCGTGACTTGGTGAGCGTGGCTTGTGGCCACGTGACTGGGTGGGTGTGGCTAGGTGGTCATGTGGGTGGCCGTGGCTGGGTGGTCATGTGACTGGCGTAGCCAAGTTGACATCACTCACATTGAGGTGCACCTGTAAAAAAGATCTTCAGACTCTGGAAAGAGTGCGGAAAAGAGCAACAAAGATGATTAGAGGACTGGAGGCTAAAACATATGAAGAACGGTTGCAGAGGTATGGGTATGTCTAGTTTAATGAAAAGAAGGACTAAGGGAGACATGATAGCAGTGTTCCAATATCTCAGGGGCTGCCACAAAGAAGAAGGAGTCAAACTATTCTCCAAAGCATCTGAGGGCATGACAAGAAGCAATGGGTGGAAACTAATCAAGGAGAGAGGCAACCTAGAACTAAGGAGAAATTTCCTGATAGTTAGAATAATTAATCAATGGAACAATTTGCCTCCAGAAGTTGTGAATGCTCCAACACTGGAAGTTTTTAAGAAGATGTTGGATAACATTTGTCTGAAGTGGTGTAAGGATTCCTGCCTAAGCTGGGGGTTGGGCTAGAAAACCTCCAAGGTCCCTTCCAACTCTGTTATTCTATTTTATTCTGAACCTTCTGCTCAAGGCAGATTATGTTGGCAGATATCCTGGCTTTGGCTGCAAGAACTGCAGCAAGCCTTCCCCACCACACACTTCCTCCTCCCACCATTTCATGCGAGGCGTAAGTCCCAAGAGAAAGCTCCTGGTCTGGGTACAGCATGATGGAGCCCTTCCTGGGGAGCAACTCAAGAACTTATTGGATGGTGAGCTCCAGAGTAGTGGCGTCAATGTCAGGAGAGCACTAGTGTGGCAGCAGTGATGGCAGTAGCAGAAGAAGACCAGGGTGGTGGCGATGGAAGGCGATCAGGGTGGTGGCAGCAGAAGGAGACCAGGACAGAGGCGCTCCAGATGGCCGGCCCTCAGGAGAGGAATTTTCTCCCAGGCCTCCCACCAATCAAGATGTTGCTTGATT